TGTCTCTTTTTCCGGCCAAATTGATTTTTGTCTGAGTCTGTCTCGGTTTTGATAGCTCTCGGTCAGGTGTCATTGATTGCTAATCAAATGGATCCCTCAGCCTCTTCTGTTCTGATACCGACAAACAGACAAGTGCGTTTTCACAACGTTCCGTTTCCTATAAACACCAGCACCTCTCGGACTCTGCTGGCGACGCTCTACCGGTCCAGCCCCACTACACTGCTGATGAGTCCCAACCAGGTCGAAACAGCTACACAGTGCTTTCTTGCTTTTCAGTTTACGCTTCATTTGCTCTATATGCGACGAGTTCCCTCTGTGAAATTCATCAAACTATTTAAATCACAACTAGCCGCTGTTTTAAACAAAAAAAAACTGGGCGAAAGGCCCCTATGCCACCTACACTGCCCTATCCACTGATTTAGATNTTCACAATCCTAACTAACCGTTCTTCAGTTATTGATTCTAAACAATATTGATTTTCTATCACTACCACCTACAAAATTCACATGAAAATATTGACAATTCTCATATACCCCTTGCACTCAGCGGTCATTCCCTGGAGCTGTACAGTGAACTCAACACCGCGACCTAAAAGGACAATCTATTTTTTTATTACACACCTGAGTGTGTTGAACAGCAGACAGGGCGAACCCCATAGTCACAAGGACCTGGTGCTCCTAAAAGGACAATCTATGTTGGTTTCGATACCACATGTGGCTTGAATCGATCGCCATGAATCAACCGTTCTCTACGGTTTTTCATCAGAAATTCCGTCTTGGATAGTTTGTTTGTATGTTTTGTTCATGCTCATTTCGCTAACCTTTACGTTACTCTTCCTTATATTCTGTGCTACTTGTTTCCTTTTTCAGCCCTTGGTTCTGGTGTCTAATGGTGCTCAGCGGTGTATTGGGCTTCGCAATCGGCTATGTGAGTGCACTACAAATTCAAGTGACCAGTCCTCTGACACACAATGTCTCCGGAACAGCCAAAGCCGCTGCACAGACAGTTTTGGCAGTGATGATCTTTAATGAAAGCAAATCACTGTCGTGGTGGCTAAGCAATCTCATCGTGTTGCTAGGTTCTGCAGCCTATGCTTATGTCCGTCAGAGAGAGTCAGCAGCGAGGCAAAACTTTCAATCATCTGCTGCCACCGGAGAGTTCGGTAACTCAAACTCATCGAAAGGAACTTCCGGGAGTAAAGTGCCTACGTCGATGTCTAAACTCTCTATTGTTTAGTCATCTCTTTCCCTATCTTTCAGTCTGTGATCCGACCTCATGCGGTGGGTGTTTTTCATTTGCACACAGTGTACCTTTTGAAAGCGCCTGTTTTCATACCGCCTAGGTTTTACCGAACGGATTTGGCGCTTTCTCGTTCTGACCGGTTTCTGCCCACCATCTATACTTGTGGGTATACCATGTGCCTCACTCTATGTTGGTCCGTGGTCTTTATCTCTTTTTTGTTCATCTTCTATATATGCTGTGTAATTACAGTCACATATTTTATCCTTCTTTTTATAAACCTTTTGCATTTGTTCTTATTACCTTTAGTTGGTTAGTTGGTGCCTTGAACAACTTATTTTTGTTTGCAACACTCAAACTGTTGCTCTTTGTATGTTTTGGCAATCAGCCCGTCGCTGTCGTCCGGCTCAATAACACATGTAACATAGTAGGGTCTTATGTGGTTCTCCACTCCAAGTCCTAGGTTTTAGGTTACTGGTTTCCACGGGCGAACAGCAGGTGCTCGTGGTTATGGAGATTTACCCAGTCTGCTGATCATCACACAAGTGTCTGTAATAAAAGTATTCAATACAGAACTTAAGTCAAAGTTCTAATATGGGAATTACTTGCAGGTCGTGCCTCTCCTGTCCCGTTGAATATTTACGCAATTTAATCAATTCTTGGTCAAAAAATCGTAAGTGTCACGTATTGCTCCGGGTATGGAAATATCACATGATGTCCTTCGTCCACTGTTTGGCCTTTTAGTACTGTAAGAATGTCAGGTGTGCTTGGGGTTCATCAAGTTTTCATTTAGAAAATTCAACAGTTGCCCCACAAACTACGTGACTCACATCTGTAGCGTAAAAATGTCAGCGAAATTTACACGAATGACCACTGAAAAATGAAGTATTCAACAGAAACCGAAACGGCTCAACAGTTTAGAAACTTAACTCATCTGGCC